GGCGGCCGAAGATTGTGTAATATACTTCAAGCTGGAGAGTTCGGGTTTGTTTTATTTTAAACTAGACACCTAACTACATCGACTGACCGACGCCGAGTTTTCAATTAAGCCTTTATAGGTTTTTCAGGCAACCAACAATCTCCGAAACCCGAAAACTTCTTCCGGATTTTCTAAAAAGCCTTAGTTTGACAAAAAACTAAGACCTAATTCAAAAATCGACGCCGGTCAGTCGATGTAGTTTCTTTTCCTCTTTTAAACAAAAAAGAATGAACTCTCTACGACAAACCGCTATTAAAAATCTTGGGACGCACTTCAGGTGTAACTCTTATATACTGAAAACGCTGTATTAAACGCTGTATGAAATACTCGATTTTAGGACTTCTATGGAAATGCCTGTAACTTTTGATACAAGGTCATACGAAGTTGTGCGAAGTCTTATTCTGATCAGAAACGTTTGCTCTACAAAGCTGTATTTTCAGAAAAATTTTCATGCATAAGCATCCAGGAAAAAAACATTATTTGAAGACACATTTTTTCGAGGCTCTTAGAAAAGTTGCTCAAAATCCCCAAAAAACCACTTTTGTAACCGAAAGCAATACAGATTCTGGAAGTAGACACTTCAGGCTATCTTTCCATGTGCATATCTCAAAACCGATTTTTTGATCGAAAATCACCATTTCTGAGGGAGGACCCTTAAATGGTCGTTAATTATTCTCACTGCTCGTTAATTCGATGTAGCGAACATGTAATAATGTCAGCAGCATCATTCAGTAAGGCTCGTTGCAGAATATGGAACCAAACCTCAGATCTATCTCCTCTCCCTCTGATGCTAAAAATTACCCTAGTAGTTTAAGACTTTTTATCTTGGTGATTCGTGAGATATTAGCGATTCATATTTTCATAAACTGCGAATAACTTCTGAACCAATGGTTCAAGATTAACTATAGGTTGCATAAAGTCATTTAAAATAGTAGATACCAATGTAACGCACTCAAAGAATTGAGTTTGACGAACGAGCAGTTGCTGTTTTCGACAACTAAAGTGCATCATAAACATGCAAAAGTATTATTACGGAAGCCAATGGAGAAGAAACAATAGATAAAACATTATCAGGCAGATCGCACACTATGTTTTATTATCGACTGTCAAGTGGAATTACAAAAAGGGGAAAAACAACCCCAGCTGTTTTTTAAATAGTTTTTAAATAGTTTTAATAGTTTTTTGAAAAAGGAGAAAAAAAGTTGTCTGTTGAATTCGTTTTGTTTTGTTAATATAATTTTAATCAATTTAATTAATGTTTGTTATCTACTGAAGAAGACTGAAGTATCAATCGAAACGTTTGGAATAAATAAAGAAATAGTACGAAGAAAAAGTGATTAATTAATATATTAAAAAATGAAATATATCATTTTGTAACCTAAACACTATGTAATTTAACATCACTTAAATCAGGGTTACACTTCTTAAAGGGAAAAATCGGAGTATTCTTCGAATGACTTGCCCAGTTCTGCCTCGAATACGTTATTAATTTTGCTTGTACATATATTGCAAGTAGAAAACTCACAAAATATGTCGGATATAATATATGTGATATGAAGCCTAAGAATTGTATAAAGCAGTAAATATGAGAATAAGACTTTACCTAAGTTAACATTGTCAGGTAGTTTAAATTTTATATCAAATGCGCCATAATTATTCAATTTCAAGCTTGATTGTTCAAGCTGTTTATCACAAGAATCATAAATTGTATAATCAATTGTACCTTGGGCATAAGATGGTGATTTGGCTTCGTTTTCTACTTTCAGTAATCGAACATAGCCTTTCACATACACATCTTCCTTTGGTTTATATAACCTCCGATCATCAAATACATGCCATACATAAATATTAGAGTCTAATGCATAACTGTAATAATTTACTAACATACATAGATCTTCATCTTTTTTCACAACCAAAATATCTTCGTTACGGTCGTCTGTCTTGAAATTTTGAATGGTGCATAAGCCTTGTTGATTTGTTTCTTGTGTTTTATTTAGCATTGAAACAGTTGCCTGATTAACGGGTACTCCAGTCATTAATTCAGTAACCCATATAGTTAAGATTACTTTTGCACCTACAACAGAAAAATACTTGTACCTAATATAATACAACTTTGTTCATATAACAATACAAGAATATTTCTACTAAGGTACCGACAAATCGAGCAGAGTTTTTTTTTTCGTTTTCTTCGCTATGGTTGAATAGGTCTCATCATATTGCATAGGAAAAGGTCAAGTTAAGATTTTTAAAACTCACTTTTGGGACGAAAAGATTAAAATACTGCTCTTTTAAAAATAGCCAGAAACGAATGAATTCTAGAAAGAGAAAAAGGAAAATTGAAAAGAAGGAAAATTTTCAGGTTTAGTGTCTTTTTAAAATTCCCAAACTCCTTTTTTCACATTCAGCATACAAAGCTCTCAAAGAAACACCGGCTTTAACATTTTTGGAAGCTAAAATGCCGGCCGTATTCGTGAAATCCGAGCAGAACGGCTGGAATTACTCTGTACAGTTTGAAAAATCCATCAAGTCTCTATAGTTATAATTTTTTCTTATTTCTTTATAACCATTTATGGGAAAAAAGTCATAGAGCGATTTTAGAAAATTTTGTTTTCTTTGCTGAGAAAAGTCAGTTTTGTAAATGAGGGGGCGAAAAAGTCAATTCTACGCGTAATTCTACATTTTTGTCGTCACAACTGAGCTTTTAAGCAATAAGAATATTATATTCATATTGTCATCATTCATATTGTCATCATTGCTTGAGCTTCGTATGTCAACACCTATACTACACACAGTAATGTTTATAATTGTACGTATCACACGAGAACGAATGAACTGTTCAGGATCATTGTGAAATCGGCGTCTGTACCTCCTTTGTTCCTTTACCATGTCTGTTTTTCTGCGTTTTTTGTTCATTGCAGTTACAAGGACCAGATCACACCCGCTGTCTGACATCATCATCTACCATGCTTCAATCTTCCACGAGTATTTTATAGGTGATGCCAGCGTTATGTACGCTGAGGTATTTAATCTCAAAGATCTATAACACTTAGTCATTAGAGCAGAATTACAAAGGCTAACATAACACATTTTGTCATAATAACATGATTACGGTCAGCATAAAATTTTCTTTGTTAAAGAAAATTGAAGGTATTGATAATACCTTTACAATTCTATTGGATCAACAATCACTGAGAAGTTAATGCAGCGGCTAGTCTTCAAATTTCATACAAATTTAGAATTGCAATTCAACAGTTTAGCTAGAGAGATAAACGTATAGACTTAAGTATGATCAACCTAATCTGTACAGAAGTTCATAGCACCAAATGACATCTCGATCATTCCATGCGAAATTGACAAATATTAAGATCGTGTCTCAGATGGAGCTTATATTTTATGTAACTCTAGATACACGTAAGGATATATTTTAAAAATTCATATTAACGATGACATACATACAATATTAACGAAGATGCTCTTGTACATCGATAAACCCGGTACGTTTCCAGTACATCACCGTCTAAATCCACCTACATTAGTCTCCAAAAGGTTCTTTTGTGCATAGTATAGTTAACGTCTGGGAGTGAGCTTGAGGGTTTTTATGAAAAATACCTTAGACCAGCAATGTGAACTTCACTTAGTGCAACTACTTTTGTAACGAGCTGTATACGAAAAAATATTTGGAGACTATCAGTGTAGTAACTGATAGTCAACATTACCAACTACTAGGGTACATCATACGAAACTTTTCTGATCTATACAAACTAAATAATTTGATCCAGAAGCTGATGTGCTCGAAACGTAACAGATTTATCGATTCCCAAGAGTAACTTCATTGATATCGTACACCATCCCCAATAGCTTAATCTCTGTTCGGCAATCTCATTACAAATCTTCTATTTACATGTTCATCAAGATATCTGTATGATGCATGTCACTAATCATGAAAATTCCAGGGTAGTCCATCCAAAAACTATCTATCACTTCTGTCTTGTTGCTTATAGCATTTTCAGTAGAATCAATTATACCTGTTGTTTCAGTATTTACTACGATTTTCTTGCATACTTTTCAGCGTAATGGCATGTCTAAAATTGTTTAACCTTAAACATCATTTTCTACCATTAATTTAGTAGTATTAATTGAAAACAAATTATCTGCTTTACTTTTAAAATATAACTACCTGAAGAAAAAAATATGTCGACTGCTAATCGTGTGCATTGCAACCAGGCTGATAGAACTGTTCTATATTTCCAATCTTCACTTTGGCATTCATTCCATGATTTTTGCGTCGGTTCAATTAATACAATTAATTGACCGGTGTTGGATTTTTTATTCAAATATGGTTTCAAAGGAATTTTTATCTCTTTGGGCTCATTGGGTGTACAGTTTGTTAGAATAACTTCATTTACTAATTCTTCTCCAGGTAGTTTATTATACCATTCTTCATCTTCATAAATGTAACAGTATGACCTCAAACATGGTAAATTTGGTTGATAATGTTCTGGTTTCACTCGATTTATGCGAAGTGTCAATTCTGAATAATTATAAACCATAAATTGATAAAATGGATCATCTAATACACCTGGATCCATTATAATCATACCTAAAATAAAGTTTTCTTTTATTATAATGAATATTTTTCTGTCATGTAAAAATATTTTGTTTTTTATTATATACAAAATTCACATTTTTCAAATTTTCTTTTTTTCAAATTCTGTTTTAGTATAAGTTTTTGTTATACCTGTTGCACCCGATATATCTCCAATTACTGCTGAATCGTGTACGCGAAATTGAATTAAATTATCTGAATTATTATGTTGTAATATTTGACCATAAATATCTTTCAATGTTTCTGATTGTATAAACAGTGTATAAATAGTATTTGGTTCAGAATTGTTATGTATTATTATTTGTTGATCATTGTCTTTCGTATGTTCAATACCTAAAACAATACCTTTTCATTTGATGCTGTTTGCACACTAGCAAAAGGCATGCTTTCAGACGTTATTAGCAGTCTGTTAATGAACTACGTGTCAGTGACTACGCTCCGGAAGCATACTCTCTTTCATCTGTATTACTTAGACAAATGAACATTTGTTCTCGAAAAAACTTTTGCCTATACATACCTAAACTGTTGACTTCTGGTTCAAATTTGAATAATGACTTATTAATTGTTGAATGATCTAATGAATTATTGAATGTTAGTGACCAACTTCTACCTGGATCAATGGATTGCTCCGAATCGCGCGTCATATTTGGATACCAGTCAGTTATTTTTAATGGTTCATACGTATGAAAACTAGTGGACCACTCTGATGTTGTCTTTAGTGGACCTTCAGCTGATGGGCAACCAAGAGGCATTTGAATAGTATATTGTGTTGCTTTTAATAGATTATGTTTAAATGTAAATGCAACGTATTTCTCATGATTTCCTTCGTGAGCATTTATAGATGATTTAAATTCATTTTTTGCTGTCATTTCATCTAATAGTTCTAGTTCTTCATTTTGCATTTTACATCCATCACCGTACGTTACATGTAGATGTTTCAGAGTTTCATGCATGTGAATTTTTTGATCGAATAACAGAAAACATTTAGGTTTTAATGTTGAAACTGTTTCATATGGTAAAAATTCAACAACTTTTGGTGTTCTTGTTGCAAATTCAAGGATAAAGTCTTCATCTAATCTACCTAAAAAGAAAAAAACATCAGAAATGATTCCTATTTAAAAATAAACGCAAAAGTGAAATGCAAAGACTCTTTATGTAGACTGAAAAATAATCTTTAATTTTGTGCTACTGCGAGGTTAAAAAGTTTGACTTAAAAAGCAGAACATACGAGACCCACTCAGAATCTCTTCATGAGACATGTTCATGGATTCACTTCACTGTTCTTGCGTATTCTATCTCTCCTCTTCTCGACCTAAGGACGGGACTCGATGCACTTATAAAACAGCCGTCCGGACACTGTCCTAGAAATTCATTTATTCTAATCCACTTCCACCTTTCTGTGTGACAAAACCAGGGTCATGAATAACTTCTTTTGGTAAAAGTTTTTAACTATTATACATTATACGGATAAGTCCGATTCCTGTTAAAGTTTCAGATATATTTACCGCCTATTGCTGATACACAATGTTCTTTGTTGACTTTTAATGTGTACTTTGTTGAATAAGGCAAACGATGTTTTGCTTCAAATTGAACTGTTTTCGTTCCTGTCCATCTCCATCGTCCTTCTATTTTTGGTGTTAAAGAAATACCTGAATTTTCTATATCCATTATTTCATTCAATGATGAAACAGTAATCATTGGTTGATTAAATGTCAGCGTAATTGCTGATAATACATGATCAATTTCTTTCTCATTAGGAGAATATCGTTCAATGATCAATGGGCCTGCTTCTTGTTTAGCTAATTGTTTTAATTGTTCAATGTCAATATCTACATCTTCTTTACGATCAGGTGGAAGGGGTGGAAATGCCGTTTGTAGTACTTCACTTGTTTTCGGTGCTTTCATTGACGCTTCACGTTTTAAAAGCTCTTGTTCCTCCGTAGTTTCTGCAACCAATTCAGAACTAGCTCGACTAAATAGCTGTTGTAACTGTTCCGAAGTTAAGTATTCCTGCCGTAAATCATCATTTAATGGTGACACTTCGACATTGGTTGTTGTTTGGTCATCAGTTTCACTGGCTTCGTCAATAGTGAAATGGAACTTATGGGGATTAGGCTGTTCATTTTCGAACGTCTGATCTTTTATCCGTTCCATTCCTCTCACGATACCCTACTGGTAAAAGAAAGAGACAGTAGAGGTGTAGTATAATCTACAAAGGCAACAGAATATATAATGTAATCCAACATCTTTCCTAGGTGAATTTTACATTAATATAAAAACTGATTTCAGACGTTTGCATTGTTCTCAGAACTATGAGTTCTGCCAAGTAATTCGTAGGAAACTAAATTAAGAAAGTTTTTGTACCGATATGAAGCTATGTTATATCTATGGAGGTGATCAATTTGACTGGTACCCCAACATTCATTTATTTGTGCCACTTCATCTACGCATTAGCAAAATCTGATTTTTTTACTAGTTATACTGCATATATAATGCTACTGATCTATCACTATTTGAAATCTATACATCACTAGACACTAGAAATGAGAATTATTAAGTACATCTTTGTATTTATTTGGGGTACATTAATTACAGTTGCCACGATGACGATAATAATGCGTGTACAAACCAGATTTTCCCGAACCAGTACATGTCCAAGTTAGCATCGAATCGCAATCAGTACAATATTTTTGACGATCAGTTTGAGCAGATCCACATTGAGCACAATTCCATTCAACTTGTGGAGAAAACATAATTCAAGTGTACTATGTATTTGTTATCGATAGAAAGTGTGTTAATGGAAAGGAAGAACAAAGAAAAGTGAACAAAATCACAGGTAGAACAAGAATGACTTGACTTAAATATAACACTAGAATAGAATGGATAAAATATATACCGAGCACAAGATGTAAACAAATATGATATGAAGCAAATTTAACACAATAAATACAAAGATGTACTAATTCTCATTTCTAGTGATATATAGATTTCTAATAGTGATAGATCAGTAGCATTATATATGCAGTATAACTGGTAAAAATATCAGATTTCGCTAATGCGTAGATGAATGGCACAAATAAATGAATGTTGGGGTGCCAGTCAAATTGATCACCCCCTATGATCACAGTGACATGCTTCTTATCCCTCTTGCTGATTTAGAAGCCCGTCCATTAAATATAGAACGTAGAACTAGAAGAACTTGAAAAATGACATTGGTACTGAACACATATGCTACAAGTGCACGGACGCATACTACCATATATAGATAGGTACAATGGCTGGTTGAGAAGAAGGAAAATGTTGTAAAATACGCAAAGCATGCGCGTATCGTGATAAAATAACAAAAATGGTAGCGTATCTAGGTAAAATAAAAAACAAAGATGTGAATCATAAATACAAATGATGTCAAACTAAACGGTCAAACAGCTCAATATAATTCTTTTTATTATAGTCTTTAACAGAACACTTTAGTGTTTCGTTGAAATGTGCAGGAGGCTGACAAGACGTCTAAAAATAGAAAGCATCCGATCAGGCAATTATAATTCTATACCGCAGTCCAGAGCTTCATGAGCGATGAATTGATAAAGCAATACAAAGCTAGTGTTTTTTTGACAGATGATTCATTTTATCTCTGTAGCAATTCGGTCAATATCTGCATCTGTTCACATCCGAAGTAGAGGATTCCTAATCCGGGAGGTAAATTTGGCTCTTCAGATAATAGCTACTTTATCGATGTAATTCTGTCTTGTTTCGTTTGTATTTATGCAAAACTTAGGTCAAGTCAAATTTAGTATCGTTGTGACCTACATGAATGGCACTTAATTAAAATCTGTTTATTGCATAAGCAGATTTTTTTTTCTTAGTATTTCCTATAGCTCCAACTCTTTCTCTAGCTACAAAATTCGTTCATGCAGGCAAACAATGAAATTTGTGTTAATATTTAAGTCGAGTATTTTTGTAACAGACCTGTACACAAATTAAGAATAAAATTAATAACAGTGTATAAACATAAATCACTTAAATCTTGAACAATAGCGGCGTTATTGGCAGCGCATAATTTTATTTTACATTTTTTTGTGTTTTTAGTGTAAACAGCTACATTCATTTTGTTATGTTAGACATCGCAACAGAGCCTTTTCTGCCCAAGATCATTCAACCTGTTGTACACAGAACAAAATATAATAAAAAAAAGAGAACACCACATACGTGTATACCAGATGAAAAAGAAATGTTCTTGTTTTTACAACCTTCCAGCTTGTGCTTTCTTTTTGCTCTGTCTACTGTATATAACCATATTTTGTACGGAATATCACAAAGAGAAGAGAACGCGCTTTCTTCGCAACGAAGGAATAGTAAAATGATAAAAATATAGAAAAAAATATCACTCACAAAGTGTTCTCTATCTGCCAAACACGAGTCAAAATTGTATATAAACGGTCAAAATGCATTAGTGCGAAGAAAGTTGTATTAGATAGGGTATATACGTTTTATTCCAAATGATTGTGTTGTCATATACCGTTGTTATGCTTTTCTAGTACAGTCAGCTTATTTTTAACCGGAGATATTTAACTGATGGATAGTTGTGATCATTTTCTATTGAATTATCACTCAATCATCATGCAAATATTGGAGAAATAATGATTTTCTTTTGATTTGAACGAGTTTTCGTCTTATAGAACAGAAAAACTTGTTCAGTGTGTACATTTAGTTTATCGTATCTAGTGTAAGACATGGAGTTAGTCCACGTATAGAAACGAAGAATTATAATCTTCATAATACTATAGGAATGAACATGCGAAGAGATGAAAAGTATATACATGATCGATATCCGTCGTTGTTTAGATATATATAATATTGATGGGTATAACAAGTAATTTTGTATCATTGGTAAAAAAAATAAGCAATTATGTATTGTTAGATATACGAATCACAGTTGAAATAGTTCAAAAGAAAAAATATTGACATCAGCATATTATTTAAATAATCGTATATTTGACAGCCTGAGTGTCCAGCAGCACAGTAACAGAATTAGAAGACTCTGAAACCTTTCTGCCATGTGAACCCATGAGTCCTCCCATTGTGAGCATGCTCAGAGCCATAACGGCA